TGATAAAAATTTGATCTCCAAAATGAAATGTAGCCGGGGAGATGGCTCAGTAGAATAAGCACTTGCCTGGCAAATGCAAGGGCCTGAGTTCAATCCCCGGTTCCGCCAAAAAAAAAAAGAAAGAAAGGAAGAAAGAAACATTATGTAACAGTAAAATACTGTATTCCATCTCAAAGACTTACTATTGTTGCAGGAAAAGTCCAGACCCAAAAGGAAGACACTCCTTACCGGAGGAGTTTTGGAACGTAACTTTAATGTAACAGTAGCAGGTTGGGATTTATCTTTTTGTTTTTATTTTGCATTACCAGGGATCAAACTCAGAACGTTGAGCCTGCCAGGCAGACATTTAAGCCCCTGAGCTATCTCCCTGGCCCTAACACTAGCGGGTTGATGAGAACAAATTCCAAATCATCAGCCCAGAGTCAATTTTGAGTTCAGTTTAAATACAATTTGCAAGCAGGAAGTACAAAGCTGATAGGTGGTTGGCACATGATTGGTTACAGGGATTACAGGAATTAAGTAATGTACTGTCAGGCAGATTTGTTTTAAGTACACTTACTAGGACTTGCTTGTCATTACACAAGAACATAATGGGAGGGAGGGGCTCTGAGCAGAGCGGGTAGAGCTAGTGCATCCTTGGCCAGGCCAGAGTGTTCTAGGCATAAAGTACAGAGTCCTTGAAGCAAGCCAAAGCAAAACGACCTATGTACATATCTTAAGTTGAGAAGCACACCTACGACAGCTGGATGTGGCCAGGTTGACCTGGCCAGCTATTTGCAGGAAGCAGTTGGACGCAGACAGTTGACGTTAACTAAGATTAGCTGCATGAGCAGTTACAGGCTACTGATGTGGTTAGATAAAATATTGTTAATTTAATTTAACGGTACCATATTAAAAATTAAATTAATTTCACGCCTTTTACTGCTTTAAATACTGCTGCTAGGAAGTTTAAAATTCCCTGTGTAGCTCATACTGTATTTCTACTAGGCATCCTAATCTAAGGAAATGTGGAAGTATAGAAATTTGCCAGGCGTGGTGGCACACACCTGTAAGCCTAGCACTTGGGAGGCTGAGGCGGGAGGATTGCCACAAGTTCCAAGGTCAGCCACAAGGTCCATGGCTACCCTAGGATACAAAGCAAGACCTTGTCTTTAAAAAATTTTAAAAATAAATAAATAAAGAGGAATATAGAATTTAAATTCACAGAATGTTAACTTCTGATTATGTTTCCTATTTGAAATCCCATTACAAAGACTGAAACTCAGGGAAAAAAACCTAGTATCTTTTGGAAA